TGGAAATTTTTGAAAGATTTTTGAAAAATGTAAACTATGAATGTTTGTTTGGCGCTGCAGGCCAGCCGATGAAAGGGACACAATCGAATATTGTCACTTGTGGAAAAGCAGTGAGTGCTAATTGAGATACCCAGATAAGCGAGCCTGTATGTGCATTAGCTTTTGTCCGGTCTGTGTTTCATCCCTAAACTGTAAACACAGTCGGCAAAGTTTTTATTTTCATGCGGGAAAAATACGCGCATTCCATGTACAAAATTTTTTGTTTCAGACGAAAAAAGATGCTCACAAATTGAACTGCTCGTAGATATCGGTTGGGCCATCCATTGGCTGCAAATGATCGAAGCTCACTTTCACTGGACCCGGAAGATCCTTTGCTTCCTAAAATATGCGAAAAATTTCTTGTGCGTTTTGGCAGTGTTCAGTGCTTAAGTACGGGAGAAAAATATTTGATGAAGTGTGCGTGTTGGAAAAAAAAGTCAGTTTGATTGCCACTCCTATCCGCATGCATAGTTCGGTCTGTGTTTACAGCTAAGGGATGAAACACACAGAGAGAGACTGCACGTAAAATATCACCTTACTACTACTACATCTAAACGATGAAAGACAGTTTGCACCGTAAAATATCACCTTACACATGATGTCTGCTCTATTATTTCATCATAATTTTTGTTCTGCGAAAAATGCGCATGGAAGAGCAGCAGTTTCACAGGGGACAATTTGCTCTGTCGTCATCTTTCGTAGTGTATTGCTTTGAGAAGAAGCAAACGGTTCCATCTCTTTCCACAAGGGGATCTCGGGAACCACAAAGTCTACAAAGCTGAAATTTTAGGATAATGACCCAGCACTGCCCACGCCCAGTCCTGGCAAGCACGGACGGTATTTTCAACACTGCATCGTATATGCCTAGTAGCAATTTTCATTGAAAAAAAAAGGGTCTAACTAATTTTCATTGAGAAAGGGACAGTCCCTCTTAGCGAAAGCTTGGTGGGGGGGGGGGCATACATACCGCGGCTCTGTGCTGCTGTTGCTTGCTGGATGTCCCCGTGCGCCTGTTATTGTTGCTGCTGCTGCTGCTGC